ACAGTTAGTATTTGACCTTTATCAGTTTAATAAAACTTAATTATAAAACTACCTGGGACTAGAAATTACTTTAAGGATAGAGTTTTGACAACTCTTGCAATTGTTTTCACAATGAGATCCAACGGATGTTTGGAATAGGATAGGAAGTTTCTCTGTTAAGGAAGATTTATTATTATTGTCCTGAAACTCTATTTGCACTATGAACAAAGCCAGGTAACTTCCATAAGGAAAGGGAGCATGTCCTTCCTCACACTTTTCCCTCCTGTTCAATGGGATACAAACCAGCATTGGAGGTGGAATAACCGTCCTGGACCATGGATGTGTATGTACGTGTTTGAATGTGTATCCATGTGTTCATTGTTTGGAACAATAAGACAGAGGGATCTGGGGATTTGGAGCCTTCATGCAGCCCTAAATAATTTACCTTCAAGCTTTCTGAGGTTAAAAAAAACAAACAAACTTCTTATAACAAAACCTAGTCCTAATATAGACACAATTTATCTCTACTTTTGCCCCTGTCCTGGTGGCAATCTTTACTCAAATTTTTGCTCTTATTTCCCCTTCTCTCCAACAATCAGTTTGCCCGACTGAACTTTTCCAATAGATTTGTCACCACATTAATTTATCTGTCTCCAAAGCGTCAAAATAGTCATACTTTAGAATGACCGAGCTCACAAGTTAGCTATTAAAAGGATGTTTGGAATAGGATAGGAAGTTTCTCTATTAAGTAAGATTTCTTACTGTTGTTCCGTGACTGTATTATGATCTATTTGAAGAAGGCAGGATAGGAAATAAGAGGGACTTATTGACTCTTTTACATTTGGGCTGGTATTTCTGTTTTAATAATAGGCTGTCTAAAATAGTATTCTGAGGACAAAATGATGGGCATGCCTTATGATTTAGTCTTACTGGGTGTCCTGGCTCCCAATCCTGTGATAACCAGCTTTGTTAGCTTGGGTTCTGAATCTTCAGGTTTGCCCAACCATTTGATTCCTGAAATTTCTTACTTCTCCCTTTATCTGATTTCTTCTACAGCAGAAATCCTCAACTTAAGATCCATGTATCCTCACTCATTAGCTTGAGATAGGGGGAGACTATGCAATCTTATGAGTTTGAGCATAGATTTTTGTGGACATGTGCATGTGTTCATTTCTTATTTTGTTGGTGTGTAACTGATTTGGGGTTCAGGAATGAAAAGTACTAGAAACAAACACTGGATCCAGAAAGATTTAAGCACAGGAAAGACTTTCTACTCAAGTCAGAAGAGAGAAAGCACATGACAGACAGAAATCCCATACTGACTCAGGTAAAAAAAAAAAAAGAAGAAGAAAAGAAGGGGAATAGCTTCTATGGCATCTATAGAGTGGGCAGAAACTCTTGATGTCATCACATGTAGAAGGTGGGACTTCAGTCACACCAGCACTCTTCCTCATGTTCCTTCATGATCACGTGTCTCGTTACCATCTTAAGTATCCAACTAGGTTATGTGTTTTACTATGCAAATAAGGTGAGTATAACTGTGGGTTACTTTAGTGGCTCTTTTATGCGTGCATTTTCCCCTCACCACCTAAAATTTGTCTTTATTATCTGAGAAATTCTCTAATATTATTGAGAATAGGGCAGACCCTGCATTGTCTGGCTTTGGTGGCCTTTCTGCTGATTACATAATCTGAGAAGACTGAATGGACTTTCCCAACCTCCCATCTCTTGGCATATTATCTCACTCCCAACAGCCTTGAAGACTGGTGAACCTTCAATTCCTAATTTTCTGGTATGATTGTTAACCCTGTAAGACTGAGAGCCAGATTGGTTGTTTTAATTACCCTGAGATATTTTATCCCTTAGTCCTAAGGGGTCCTGTTTTTCATGGGACTCCCCGACTCTTTCAGGTGAAAAGCCTGTGATTTCATTAAACTCTCAAAAGAGATTCCTAACCATGAAAGGTTAAAGGTTTTCCATATGTTAAATTCAAATATTCAGAGAGCTGAAAATATAGAGTATATTATTTGATATCAAATAGCCTGATTTCATGAAATTGCCTTTTTGATCTTATACCGTCTGTATTTTTTTTTTGGTGACTATCATAATAGATAGCTGTATGAGACACTATTATATTTATTATTATATCAAATACAATGTCCCTGCATCATACATTAAACTTTTTAAATGGATCCATGGGAGAAATTTCTCTTAGATCCCCATACTGGAAACAAAAAGCTATATTTGTTCTTAATAATAGATATGCTTATGCTGTATCCATGTGACATCTGTAACTGTTAAGTCTCCCTCCTTATTTTAACTCAACCAAAATTTGTGACCCATCTCTAACTTTTCTATAATTTTATCTCATTTTTAATCCCATTTTATAATCTGCTCATTTTTAACTTCTTGTGTGATATTTTTAAGTAAGCTGACTTAAACTCTTCTTTAGAAGGATTTATTATAAAATATAAAAACATAATTTATGAAAGGACTTGTCATTATCAGTTTAAGACAGACTCTAATGTTGTGTTATGTGTCACTTTGATCCAACCTTAAATCCAACTTTGCCTCTATCAGCAGGGTTGTTTGAAACAATTGTGATCCAAGATGATATCAATATGCAGGCATCTGTGGTCTTCCTGTTGGGTGTCCATTAAGTGTGTAATGTTATCCTGTTGATCTGTAAAATCTTATGGGGAATAAGCAGATGGAAATAAGGGATCGAAATCTAGTAAAAGTGATCAGAACTGAAGACATGGAAGTTTACACAAAAGGTATTAATGGTAACAGTTCATATATAAGGTGTCTAAAAAGAATTAGGAAGAGAAGAGTCCAGGTTTGAGTACTGAAGCCTGGTGGCAACTTCCTTGTAAGAGAAGGGGGTTAAAGAGAAGAGAGGAAAGAGAGGTGGGATTAAAGTAGGGTAGAAGCTGTAGCTATAAAGCTGCATACTCACTCCTATCAAAAGTAAAAATGGACATCTTTATCGATGGGCACAGAATAAATGCCTTGGTTTTATTTATTCACTGGTGAATCCTGAGGGTAAGTTTGATAAGAATGTGGGAGTGGACTTCAGATGACAGAGGACATAATAGGTAAAATTTATTCTAATTACTTGTTAGGGTACAATGGAAATGAATTGGACTGAACCTAGAAGGAAACAGCATCAAGGAAAGTTTTCAGTTTTTTTTTTTTTAATTTTTCTTATTCCCATCAGTGAGAACTAATAATTAAAGACCTGAGTTTATAGGTATAAATGAGATTCTAAAATTTGTAATAGAGCGAGATGGTAGAAAAGAATCAAAGATGGAACCCAGAATGATGATACTTTTTGAAGGAGGAAGTGATATCTCTTCAGCAACAAAAGATAAGAAAGGATGGAGAGTGCCTGGTGCAATGGTGCATGCCTGTAATCCCAGCAGCTCAGAAGGCTGAGACAGAGGATCCTGAGTTCAAAGTCAGCCTCACATCAGTAAGGAGCTAAGCAACTCAGACTCTGTCTCTAAAAAAAAAAAAAAGTACAAAATAGGGCTGGGGATGAGAATTAGTGGTTGAGTGTGCCCCTGAGTTCAATCCTCAGTACATGCCCTTTGCCTCCCCTCAAATAAAGAAAGGATGGAAGTAAATACAAAGGTAGTGTGAATAGAATGTAAAATGAAGTAATATACAATAGTTGGCTCCATGTTCTCAGGAAAATAGGGGAAGATTTTAAGAGATCCATGTGAAAAAGGGAGGTACAAGGGTTAGTTCTGATATGAACAGTGACTATAGGTCAGGAGTGTGATAGAGAAAGACATCCGCAGTGTCCTTTAGTCACCAACTTTTGTAGTCATGATGGAGAGATTTCAGACGGTCACTTAGAATAGGAGGCATGAGCTTATTAGAAGGTATAGGGAAAGGGAAAAGGGGAACATCTCCAGGGAACTCTAATAGAACACCTCTCTGCCCTCCTCTTTTATTGGAAGTCCCATGGAAATTTCTAGAGTCCTGCCCAGGTCCCCCTTTTGACTTTTGACTCACAGCAGAATTGCATCAGACATAACCCATGAAGGAGATGTTGTAATTACATGCTAAAGATCTAAGGCAACTCTTTGTCACTTTGGCCCACATTGTCCAGTTTGAATTGGAATTTGTTCTTATAGATTTTATGGTTAGGGCATTTTGCTTCTAAGTATTACATCTTTCTAAGTTCTTGAATCTGGTCTGTGTAAAAGTCACAAAAGTCTACCCTTCAGGGTAACTTGTGCTGTTCTTATTAGTGGGAGGAGCTTTTCAGGCCCATATTTCTCCTGCAGATAACAGGTTGTTTGCTGGAGAATATTACATATCCTTTTGAATTAAGACGGGTATGGCTGCAGGTAAATTCCTTTTTTAAAGGAAGCTGTTTATAGAATTATCCCCTTAACTTTATATTGCCACTGCTCACATCTGTTACCTGTCAAGAGGAGTCAATAGAAGAATATTTTAAAAAATAAAAAATAAATTTAAAAAAAGGTAGGGAGAAGAAAGGACATTTTAATAGTTTCAGAAATTTCTTAACCAAATTAAGATGTTTGGCTAGGCACAGTTTCAGAGAAGATACAGTCCTTTTTCCCACAGGAATTCACACTTTATTGGACAGCAGCTACATGGATTATTGAAAATCAGATGAAAGTGAAACATTAGCATAATAGCAGGACAATTTTAAACAAAGTTGGTAAGATTTAGAATAGTAGGAAAGGAAGTTGAGTCAGGAATTGTGAATACTCAGATTTGCGGATGGCCTTATGGAATTATTCAAGGCAGAATTGAACACCATGTCCAGTTGAGGAAAGGTGGTACATGGAAAGAATGCAGATGGTGTCACTGGAGTCACTGTCTCCAAGGGGCCCTCTCTGAGTTACAGATCTTTGAAGAGTTAAGAGTTAATCCCTGATTGCCAGTCACTGAGACGACACTGGAGGTAAATGGATGAGTAAGAAGTGTGGTGAAGATGTAATAAGGGCTTGTACATGTCACAATATGATCTCAACATACAGAGGGTACAGAGGGGTGGTGGGGACTCAGCTCCAGACAAACAGAGAGTAATTAAATCATGTAAGGTCCTGCTCACCCTTGAGTATTTCAGGATACAGGAATTCTGATTCTAAAATCACCTCCACTTGTATTGGTTTATCCTATTGGGACACTTTGTTATTTGAGAGCTACCATGAAGATTCATTACCTTTTCATGGCTCTTGTCTTCACTGTCCTGGTGCTCACCTCAGGTAAGGTTTTGGCCCTGTAAGTGAAGAGTCAAATGAGTAAACTATATGAAAAGGGACAACTAACCATCTTTGACTATGTTTCTTATTAAGTGTTCAGTGAACTTTCGTTAAATGAATTGGTTCGATAGACGAATTTGTTTCTTTAAGAATGACTCCTTGAGGATAGAAGGGAGTTGGGAGAAGTTCAGGATTCCCTATCATTTCATACCAAATTTCTTCTCTCAGGTATGGGGGTAGAATCTCATATTACTTCCAAGAAAGGGAATAGAAATTATCTCCTCTGTCCCATCATTTTACAAATAATGATCTTGAGACCATGAGTCTTGATCCTCTGTCTCCCAGGATACTGTGAAATTTTTATTTCTACTCTCCTCTTTCTCTGTTTACCATACATAAGAGGAAAATAGGGTTCATTTCATACAGTTTTACCATGAGTATTAAATGTGTTAATCCACAGAATGACTTTAAAAAAAACACCTGATACATAAAAAATGCTCAAAAACTGTTAACTCTGATTATTTTCATTTTTACTACTTTTTCCTCTGTTTTTACTTTCTTTCTTTCAGTAATCTCTCCTTTCAGTTCAGAATATCATATAAACAAGATGGGCCTGGAGAAAAACTGTGAGGTTACTTGAACTTAAAACTTCAGGTGACCCATGAAATGATAAGGGTCTCATAGGGTTAAGAATAGAGAGAAAAAGATAGACGAGATAGGTAAAATATTAATAAAGATGAAAATACTAATGTTGTGAAGGAGAAAAAGACAAGAGTCACGGATGGCACAGAAGGGGATAGGCTGAATGATTTTAAAGTTGTGGGTCCATTAATAAAAATGTGAATGTGAGGAAAGTGAGCTGATTTGGGGATGGCCCATGGAAATCACTTTAGAAATTATTATTTTGAAGCGACAGTGTGGCATTCAAACAGAAATATCTAACAGAGATACAAGACTAGGAGAAGCTTGTGGCTGAACATAAACTTTGTGGGACCTTCCAAAAATGATGACAATTGTTGTTATGTAAAATGATTTCTTCTTCAAGGGTAATACTCCCTCCCCGCTTTTCTTTTTCTATAGGGAATGTTATATACTGGGCATGATATTGAGTGCCCTGCAATAGTGGAGGAGGAAGGCAACAGAGAAAACACTCACTCCTTCACGCCTTTCTAGTCCTCCTTCCTCTCCTCCTCACTCTTCTCTCCTCAACCTTTCTCTCTATATATTTCTTCTCCTTCCTTCTTGTCCTCCTTCTTCTCCCGTCCTCTTCCTCCTCCTCTTCTTACTTCTCCTTCTTCCTAGTTATATCCAGAAGCTTACAAGTTGCAAGCAATGAGTTAGATAATTGGTGAGAAGATTCAGGCAGAGGAAAATCAGCTTAGAAAGAAGTAATTGGGAACAGTGATGATGTTAGAATCCAAACTGATCTCTGAGTGAAGCAGCTGAAAGTAGAGTTTGGAAAAAAGTCCTTGTTGAGGATTTCAACTAGAAAAGAAGTAGTATACGTCAACTCCTGGCAAACTGCACCTGAGCTTTATGGACCTGTGGCCCTTACCTGCTTTGAATGGCAGGGCATCCAGCATGACATGATGTTCAATATTGAACATCCATTAAGTTCATCATTGGTCTAGCATTCTTTCTAGGATCCACCCCATAATGCTGGGTTTATTTACTCTATAAGGAGTTCAGTTGGTCTGCAACAAGCCAAGTGTTCCTGAAGTGCCTGATTGTCCCTTCTTTCTATCTCTCTCTCTCTCTCTCTCTCTATATATATATATATATATCTTTAAATCTGATTTTTAAACCATAATGTTGCCAGGTATGGTAGTACAAACCTGAACCCCAATGGCTCGAGAGGTTAGGCAGGAAGATCACAAGTTCAATGCCAGCCTCAGCAATTTAGCGAGGACCTAAGCAACTTAGAAACACCCTGTCTCAAAAAAAAAAAAAAAAAAAAAAAGAAAAAAAGGAGAGAGGGTGGCGGCTGGCTAAGGATGGGGCTCAGTATTTTCCCCAAAGCTTTATATTTGAAATCTCTTCTAGAGCTTTGTGAGTATATGCATAAATAAATGTTGTTCTCCTGTTTTTAATTGTTTATCCATTTATTTTTAGGTACTGATGATGATCATGAAGTCAATAGTATCCTGGACTGCAAAAATCAAACCCTGTGTAATTCCAAAAATGTGACTGGACACTGCTCTGAGGTTAAGGTGGTCGAAATGTGTGTCTTGCATCTTAGGAAAACTCCAAAGCAACTACCCTTAATGCTATAAAAATTAAGGCAGGATGATCAATTCTCTTGTCTTATTAAAAAACTAAGTCTGCTTCTCTTTTGTTATCTCACACCCATTTTATTGACAGATGGGATAAAAGTCTTATCAAAGAACTTTGGATGCTTGTAAATCAACTACTTTCGACAGGTCAAGGAATACATATTTGAAGAACCAAAAGAAGACTTGCTTTGTGTGGGTTATGGAGGAAAGCTTTGAGGAGTGGGAAGTAGGGAGAGAAAGATCTGGGGGGTGGGGGGTACCTATAGCATGAGACAAGGCTGGATGGGAATGAAGGTTACTTTTACTGTAGATTATGAATAAACTCTTCCCTCAGTGTTTTGCCGATTTAGTAAATAATTAGCTTTTAAATTTTTATTTTTGGTTAAAATCTTTGTTCATGATCTATTAGTGTTTGCATCACAACATTTGATTCCTTTCCCTGAATTATAAGCCAAATACTCCCATTACCTAGACTAGACCTGGTAAAGGAGGAAAGTGATTCTTTGAGCCTGGGCCTCCTTTCCACCATCACCCTACCCCTGCCAGGGACACCTATACTGCCTGCAGCCAGGTACTTTTCCTCTAGGTTGACCTGATTCCCCTCTATCAGCTACCCTCTGAACTGTTCTCTGATTTGTAGGATAAAAGCATGATTGAACAATTCTAAAGTGGTTAGAAAAGACTGCCTGACCATGTAGAAGTATCTGCATTTTAAGTAGGAAGCTTGTTGATAGTAGATGAATTTCAGACTAAAGTGAAAAATTTTAGGCAAATATGGATAAGACAGAATTCTGAATGGGAACTGAGGAGACTTTGGAAGAGGTTTACCAGACAAGGCTGGGGCTGAGGCTATGCTGGAAGGTCAGGGAAGTACCCAGGTAGCAGCAACCGAGGGGAGGCAGGAGGCAGGCTTCAATAAGCCTGAATCTGTGCTAAAGGCCCATGGTGTGGGGCGTGGGGAGGAGAATGCTACCTAAAGCACTAGCATGGGAAATACAGGAAGTGCAAGGGGAGAAGGAGAC